AGAAAAATGTGATGATGTGACTGAAGGCAGCGAAAGCCCCGACAGTGGCCAGCAGCATTTGAACCCCGTGGTCACACAATGACGCTGCCTCATATAGTCCTCTCCTCTCCCTCTTTCGGCTCTCCACTGTGCGCGCACCGGAGTGCGTCAAAGCGCAGATCCACAGCTCATCCCGGCTCAGATCCCCGTGCTTTGAACAGAGAAGCGTGTATAGTAGCAGCCGCTACAGCTGTGTTTGCCTGTGACTGGGGTGTGGGGACAAAATCTGATGGGAACGCATTACCCCCCCCCCCCCCCATAATATACGCACCTGTTGTTACCGGAAAAAAGCGGAAATGACGTGCATTTGCGGAAATTACGTCTCCGTGCGTCGCTGTTTGGCTAAACACTTGACTGAAACCTTATTGCGTGAGCGACAGCAAGTGGAATGAATATATATCTTGTCACACAGCCCCAATCATGTCTTTTTTAAAGCCTGCAGTGAAGAGAAAGGTTGGTGACGAGCACAGACAATTTCAGGAAAAGTGGGAGATGCAATATTTCTTTGTTGAGCACATGAGCACCCCGACGTGTCTTATATGTACAGAAAAAGTTGCGGTGCACAAGGAATACAACCTCAAACGTCATTACTCAACTAGACATGCTGAGGAGTATGCAAAATACCAGGGAGATGAGAGAGCCAACCGGGTTGCCAATCTTAAAACATGTCTACTGAGGCAACAAAAGGTCTTCAAGAAAGCAACAAAAGAGAATAATGCAGCAGTCGAAGTAAGCTACGTGGTTAGTGAGATGATTGCTAAGGCAGGAAAGCCAATCACAGAAGGCGAGTTTATCAAAAGTGCATCTTACAGGCTGCAAGTAGAGTCTGTCCGGAAAAGAAAGGTCAGTTTAGCAACATCAGCCTTTCTGCTAACACCGTGGCAGAGCGCATTTCTGACCTCTCAAGTGACATTTATGATCAACTGCGTGAGAAAGCCAAATTTTTCAATGCATACTCAGTCGCTCTTGACGAGAGTTCAGACATCACTGACACTGCCCAGCTCACAATATATGTCCGTGGTGTTGATGACAATTTTGAAGTAATGGAGGAGTTGCTCACAGTAATTCCAATGCATGGCCACACCACCGCTCAGGAGATATTTTGCCAGCTGTGTGATGCCATTGTGAATGCCGGTTTGCCATGGAAGAAGTTTGTTGGAATAACAACCGACGGAGCGCCATCAATGACAGGGAGGAAAAATGGACTGGTGGCACTTGTTCAAAGAAAACTAGAAGAGGAGGGTGTGGAGGAGGCCATTGCTCTGCACTGCATCATCCATCAGCAGGCCCTTTGCAGCAAATGCCTGAAGTTTTACAACGTGATGTCTGTTGTTGTGAAATGCATCAACCAAATCAGATCAAGGGGCTTAAAGGACCGGATGTTCCGTACTTTTTTAGAGGAAATGGAGTCAGAATATGAGGATGTGCTCAACTTCACCGAGGTACGTTGGCTCAGCAGGGGAAACGTCTTGAAGAGATTTTTTGAGTTGAGAGCAGAAGTGAAAGGCTTCATGGAGAAGGATGGGGTGGCTGTTCCTGTGCTAAGTGATCCCAAATGGCTCATGGACTTAGCTTTTCTTGTTGACATCACGCATGAGCTGAATGTACTGAACAAGAAGTTACAAGGCCAGGGGCAGCTCGTCAGTCCTGCCTATGACAACGTAAGAGCATTCTCCACAAAACTTGTGTTATGGAAAGCCCAGCTCTCTCAGACAAACCTTTGCCATTTCTCAGCATGCAAGGCACTCCTGAATGCAGGCACACCATTCAGTGGTGAGGAGTATGTTGATGACATTTTGAGGCTACAGGAGGAATTTGATCACAGATTTGCAGACTTCAAGACGCACAGAGCCACTTTTCAAATTTTTGCCTATCCCTTCTCCTTTGATGTGCAAGATGCCCCTCCTGTGCTTCAAATGGAGCTCATTGACCTGCAGTGCAACTCTGACCTCAAAGCCAAGTTCAGGGAGGTGAGTGGAAAAGAAGACAAGCTTGGGCAATTTTTGCGAGAATTGAACCCCAGCTTCCCTGAGCTTTCCCGAATGTTCAAGCGGACCATGTGCCTTTTTGGGAGCACATATTTGTGTGAAAAGCTCTTCTCCACCTTGAACTTCAATAAGTCCAAGTACAGGTCCAGACTTACTGATGATCATCTTCAAGCCATACTGAGGGTCTCAACTGCTTCCTTCCTCAAGCCAAATGTGGCTCAGCTATGTGAGAGGAAGCGCTGCCAGGTCTCTGGCAGCAAGAAGTAGGCAAGAGAAGCCATGTTCAGAAGAACCGTTCATGTTCTTCAATATTCTATTCATGTTCAGAAGAACCCATTGAAGTTAAATAACTGTTAGTAATGACATTTGAGAAGTTTGGATTTTCTTAGCAAAGTTTTTGTTGTGAAATACCTGATACGGCCTAGCCTCACCCAAATACTGCCTCCAGCGGCCCCCAGGTAATTTGAGTTTGAGACCCCTGGTCTACAGGAAAGCCACCCACACGGATGTCTATCTAAAGCCTGACTCCCATCACCATCCAGCCCAGGAGAATTCCCTCATCAAAACACTACACCATCTCCGACCAGCACCACCTAGCCAGTGAGTTGGCGCACATACACCAAGCCCTCAGGATGATAGGAAACAACCTTATGAGGATCCAACCAAAACCATCACTTTACCGTACATATCAGGGGTTACCAAAACTATTTCTAAAATCTTAAACAAATACAAGATCCAGGTTCGTTTCAACACAGTACACAAACTGAGTTGTGGTTGCGGTGGCAGTTACATTGGGGAAACGAAACGACATGTCTCGGACCGCGTTCGTGAACACAAGGCAGATCTGGCAAACGGTAGGACCAATACATCTAGCATTGCCGATAATTGTTTTAACGCTGTGGGCTCACACGAAATTGTTTTTTCCAAGACAGAGGTACTCTGCAAGCCTACCAGCTACCTTCAGAGATTTGTTCATGAAGCCATCCAGATATATAAACATTGACACAACTTCAACCGAGAGGATGGGTACGAACTGAGCAATAATTTTTAGGACATTATTAACCAGGTAAAGTCTTAACTGACTGTGATGTTTCCATCCTACCTGCCTATGTCAGCTGTTATTTCCAACTCTCTGTGTCTCTCTATGCCTCTCTCTTAGATCTTTTATGCTCACATGTCCTTTTCATTGCACTCTCATGCCTTTGGATTGCACTCTCATGCTCACATGTCCTTTGGATTGCACCCGTTGGGTTGCACTCATGCCTTTGGATTGCACCACTCTTCGATTTGAAATTAACATGCTAATCTCTCACAATAACATAGCCACTTCCATGCCCTCGTCGAGGAGGCCGCTCTCCTCGCTTACTTTTAATTGCTAATTTCTCACATTAATATCACTAGCCCCGGCCACTTCTTTATGACTCTTGGGCTACACCCCTTTCAAATCTTTTAAAACAGTCTGCCTGAGCAGCAGACCATGCTTTCCCACCTGATGACGGACGCTTGTGTTATGCCCGAAACGTCGTGATTTATTTTATACCTACGTGACTTTACCGAAGGAACCAAAGAGTGTGGATTCCTGCAGTCACGAAAGCTTCAAATCAAGATTGGCTTATTATTATCATCATCATCGTGTGGAACTTTACATCAGCAGCCAAATATTTAAACGTGTGTTGTTGAGACATAGGGAGACATGGGGAGACACAGGGAGACACAGGCTGCTCCCTCTGCATCTGCCAGAGCTGCACCTTGACTCAAAACCAGTTGATCTTATCTCTTGATTTGTGCTTCAGTGCTAACCACTATCTGATTGTGCTACGACACCTGCCCGTTTTGGCCTGTGGTCGATATTTTGGTACGTGTGTTGATTTTATATGTGGCACATTATGAATTGACCACTCTTTAAATTATTTCCTCGTGCAGCAATGGAGTAAAGTGTGGTTTTGTGAAGGTCCCTTATGTCCTGTGCAGTACATCAATGCTCGTGTGGACACCAGCATGCGGTACTGAGTCGGGCCTGTAGGTGGCTGGCAGGGTTATTGAGTAACCGGACCTGTCCACCAGTCACGTGGTTAATGGCGACTTGCTGTGTTTGTGACGCACGTGCTGTTGCATTCTACAGGAAAAGGACCCAAATGTTTTTTTTACAGTACGTATACAGTACATATACAGTACATATAATGGGTGTAAGATACTAATATAAGAGGATGGTATAGATAGACATACAGCTCAGGATTAAAGTAATATTCGAATAGTGAAGTGTAAAGGTTATGATTAAAGACAAAGATGGTTTATCAGTAGTGGAATTGGGTTTAAGGGAAACTGTTGTTGAGTAACCTGACCTGTACAACAGTCACGTGGTTAATGGCGACTCGGTTGAGAATGTCTGTATGACACACGTGCTGTTGCATTTTACAGATTATCACAATGTGTTTGCCATCGATTTGGATCACCTGTCCACGTCCTTAATTTCGAGTGTGCAACATGTAGGTAGGAGGACTACCTTCGTTTAATTTATACCATAACGTATTGCGATGCCCTCTCTAATTGGGGCGAGTTTTTACTCAAAATATAAATTGAATAAATGAAACAAAAAGGAGACACTGGGAGACACGGGAGGCAGGGGTGTAGACACGGGGAGACACTGTGAGACACGTGAGGCAGTGGTGTAGACACGGGGATACACTGGGAGACACGGGAGACAGAGAGACAGAGGTGTAGACACTGGGAGTCACTGAGAGAAATGGGAGACACTGGAAGACACCGGGATACACGAGCAGGCAGAGGTGTAGACACTGGGAGACATGGGGAGGCACTGGCAGACACTTGATACACTGGGAAGCACTAGAAGACACTGGGAGGCAGAGTGTAGACACTGGTAGACATGGGTAAACACTGGGAGACGCTGGCGACATGGGGAGACACGGAAGACACTGGAAGACACTGGAGACTGTTCCCGTGGTGCATCGTCACCATAATGAGGCCCGAGGTGAGGTGCGACTCATTGACGCCGCGTTCCATCCAGAAGCGGGAGATGGCCCTCTTGTAGGAGGGGTTGAAGAAGGCCACGCGCTGCTGGGACTCAAAGTCGTCCAGGGTAAATATGGCCTGGGGGGGGGGGGGGGGCGTGGGGGGAGGAAGGGGGGCGGGGGTGTGAGGAATCGCTGCCACGTGTGATCCAGAATGGACACGTGGTGCACAGGTGGACACTGGTGGACACGGTGGATGTGAGTGGGCCGTGGTTACCCTGTACGCGAGCGACGTGAATGCAGACACGGTGAAGGCGGGGATGAGCAGGATGCTGGAGCCGTAAGAAGACATCTTCCTGATGAATTCCTTCCTTCTCCCGATCAGGGACTCGAATCTACATACACACACACACACGGGGTTACACACACACACACACGGGGTTACACACACGGGGTTACACACGTATAAATGCACATGGGGTTACAAATAAAAATGCAAAGATCCCCCGTATAGTCTTAACAGACTTTTGGAACCAGTGCTGTTAGTGAGCACCTATGAAGGCCGGCACGGCACACGAGGGGGTGGGTGGCCAACACTATGGCCGGGCCGCCTTTGTGTTTACTACACACCACACCCAGGTACTCATTTGAGGCCGAGCTGACCTAGGGGAGAAGCCCAGGACCGGTTCAGATAACCGCCACCCCGAGTTGGTGGCGGCAAGCATCACCAGGGTTCGACAGACCTTGTAGTGCGAGGGCAGGGGGCGTGGCCCAGGGCGGTCGGCCCCCGATTCGTTCACCCACCTACCTCCTATTGGACGACTCTGCTCACGGCACAGAGGCCCTTGCAAACAAAGTGCAAATCAAATCCCCCCCCCCCCCCGCCACTGACTTCAGTGAGGAGCTCACAAGGAACGTCGTCACATCTAGCCCTCTCTTGAAGGAGCGGAAGAGGAGGAGGAGGGAGGATGTCTCCAGAAATCCGGCCCTCCCGCCTCATGAAGCCGGTTGTAATTGCTTGCGAAACGTCAGACTCAGAGTTGTAAATGTCATGGATTTGCTCTCCAATACACCGGTGCGGCTGTACTTGTGACGAATTGGCTGAGTTATGTTCGCGTGACACTAAAACTGACTAATTGGCTGTGTCGGGTGGTGGTGGGTTTAATCACATAACGTTTATATTAACGCGATATAGCCCAAAAAAATAACTATAATGAAAGATAAAGATTCCCCCGTGTGTAGCCTTTGAGGCACGTGCTGTTAGTGAGTCAACAATTGTGAAGGCCGGTGGTGCGGGCACACCGGGTGGGTTGGTTGGGCCTTCAACGCACCTAGGGCCGCCTTTGTCTCCTCAATGGCAACGTTTAGTACACACATGGCACACCGGTGTGCTCACTTGAGGCTGAGTCGACCGAGGCAACACAATTGACAAAGATCCTCCAATGTTGGGGCAAGTGCTGTTCGTAAAGAGGAGCAGCTATTGTAAAAGCCAGTGGCGCGGCACACTGGCTGGGTGGGTTGGGCCAGCGCCACTGCCGGGGCCGCCTTTGTCTCCCCAGTTGGCGTCGTTTTATGCACACTGCTGAGTCGACCATCGACACGCGGCCATGCGCACTCGCTCGCTTGCTCACCGATTAATTAAGATGCTCGGGTTGGAGGTGACGATGTCCGTTTTGCTTCCCACGTCGTCCTGGAAGTCGCCCCCCACGGGAGGGATATTGCATCTGGTGGACAGTGAAGGGGGTAAGCCACAACCCTACCCGCACGTCTAGAGTTCAACTCTGCCCATATGTCTCGAGTTCAACCCTGCCCACATTTATAGACACAACAACAACCGCCATTCGCCACTCACTCTCACACTCTCTCTCACTCTCCCTCACTCCCTCCCTCCCTCCCCACTCTCCCTCCCCTCTCACCGGATCACAAAGTCAGCCGCGTCGATCTGGGAGCCGCAGGAGCTATTGGCGAGGATCCCTCCATTCCCCACGACGGCGCAGCGAAGGTAGCGCCCACTCTGCTCGGGGAACTCCTGTTGCCACATCACCATCATCAGCTGCCATCATCAGCCATCATCAGCAGCAGTTATCATTAGCCATCATCATCAATGATCACTCGTCATCATCATCATCATAGTGACCAGCCATGTTGTAGGTTGGTAGCTGGCGTAGCCATGGGTGGAGGTGGCACTGGGAGAGGGGTATCGGTTGGAGACCCATTGGCCAGCTCGCTTCCCTGACGAGCGTTGAATGCATATTTGTGACAGGCGTCTTCTCCAAAGAAGCTACTACATAGCAGCTCAGTTGTGCCTTCCTGTACCCGGTAACAATAAAAACAACAGTCTAGTTTTAGTTTAGTCATTTAGTTTCAGATGATTTTAAAACCTTTGTTGTACTTCGTACTCCGGTCTGTTTTTTATATTGTTGGTTGTTGTAACTTTCTGCCCCATCCCTACTGGACACCATTGGCGAGATGTTAACTACCTCACCTGGTGTACAGGAGGTCGTGGGATTGATCCCGACACTGACGCCTGCTGTATATTTCGAGTTTGCGTGTCTCTCATCATCATCACGGTGGCTAGGAGATATTAACTACCTCGCCTGGTGTACAGGAGGTCATGGGTTCGATCGCGATCCTGCTGTATATTTGGAGTTTGCGTGTCTCCATGTGGTCGCGTGGATTTTTTTCCGGATCCACGGGGTTTTCCCTCCACATTTAGAAACGTGCGTTTAGAGTATTTGGCTGATATCAATTTCCACGTGGTGATTATAATAAGCCCACTTCGTTGAGCTACGTAGCAGCTCAGTGTGGCCTTACACCTGGCAACAATATACAAACAGTAGTTTTAGTTTGTGAAAAAGGGCTTCAAAGCTCATCGGATTTCTGCAAGATGAATAAAACATTCTGATGTGGCTCAACCGAAAAACAGAACACGGATTGATTATTGTCCTGCCTGCCCCGTAGTCTCAGGAGGAGCGGTGGTGCAGCGGTTAGCGCGCTACGAACCCGGCGACCCGAGTTCGATTCCCGCTCACGGCCACCAACACCGGTGATGATTATCTGAACCGGTCGTGGGCCTCCCCTAGGTTGACTCGGCCTCATAAGTGCCTGGAGTGGTGTGTAAACATCGCCCCTGGGGAAACAAATGTGGCCGGGCGTGGTGCTGGCCACCCAACACCCTCTTGTGCCATGCCAGCCTTCGTAGGTGCTTGCTAACAGCTCTTGCCCCAACAGTCTGTTCAGTCCATACGGGGGATATTTGTGCGTGTGTAACTGTGTGTCACTGTGTGTGTATATCATTGTCCGGCAAAACAATCCCCTGGTAACCCCCTGGTAACCCCTCCACCTTCGATTAATTACCACGAAACCACAACTTGAACATAAATATGTAACTAATAAGCTTGTGCCGGAGGCCCCGGGGGAACAGGCGTCTATGACGTGCCAAACCCAAATTGAGGGAGCCAGGAGATTGAATCTTCAACCTCGGGGCTCCTCCAGAAACAACTAAAAACCACTTCGTGTGGCCACGTGGAATGTTGGAATGCTCACTGCGGAGAAGAGTCTGCCACTCCTCTGTCGGGAGCTGGACCAGTACTGTCTGGATCTCTCTGGCATTCAGGAGGTCTGGGGGACTGGTTCTGGCTCCTGCCATCATGAGGGGTGGACAGTCCTCTATTCGGGGCAGGAGACTGTGAAACAACAGGGTGTGGCTCTTCTTCTAAACAAAAGAATGAAGGGGGCGTGGGAGCGTGGTGGTGAGGTGTGGGAAGCTGTCAGCCCCAGGCTACTTTGGGCTCGCCTTCCTATCAACCGGAGGCGAGGAGTGGTGGTCGTGGTTACTTATGCCCCCACTGAAGACGAACATCCGTGGAGGGATGCAGGCAAAGACGATGAGTCAGATGCGTTCTATGACCTCCTGTCACAGGTGCTGGCTAAAGTGGCCACTCGGGATAGAGTCATCTTGTTGGGTGACTTCAATGCCCGAGTTGGTCATGATGCTGGCACCTGGTCTGGAGTGATTGGAGGGCATGGGCCAGATCAGCTCAATAACAACGGTAGGAGGCTGCTTGATTTTTATGCAGCCCATGGGCTTGTAATTACCAACACACTCTTCCGGCATCGTCGCATTCACACAACATCATGGATGCATGCAGGGTCCAAGCAAGAACATCTTGTGCACTACATAGTGACGGACCAGCGGATGCGAGCCCATGTCCTTGACACCAGGACCTACCGTGGAGCTAATCTGCCCCCTGACTATCGACTAGTCATCTGTAAGATGCGCCTGCCATTGGTGGGTGTACACCCAGGACCCCATTCCAACCTAAAGTGGCCTGGTTTCAGTTAGCTGATGAAAGTTGCAAGCGAGAATCTCATCATCGCTTGCGGCTGGGGTTGGCATCGTCCCCCACTCCTCCTGATGTCGAGGGTAAATGGGCGAGGTTTAGGACTGTGACGCATGCAGCTGCAATGGCTGATTTGGGTACGTGGTCCATACCTCTCCAGAGACACTGGCCGACAAAGGAGGTGTTCAAGATAGTTGAGAAAAGCGACAGGCCCACTCTCATTCGCTACAGCATCCCACGTCAGAGAATGAGGAGGCTTACCGCAGCCTTCCCTCGGCGGTTCGGAGAGCCGTAAGGCGCTGCAAGGATGGGTGGTGGTCGCGGGTTGCGGAGGAGATGGAGTCTGCCTCAGTGGCCCGCGATCACAAATCACTATTTAACTCCATCAAAAAAGTAACCTGCAGCGCCATACCGTATTACCATCATGAGGGAAAAAACTGTGATCCAATCTCCGACTCCCACGAACAAGTTTGCAGATTTGCTGAGCATTTCTGTGAGGTCCTGGGGGAGGGAAAATCTCTCAGCCAGGAAAACATCGTGGCACAAAGTGATGGATGGCCCTGCTGAGGCTGCGGTGCCTCAAATATTGGAAGAAGTCACCCCCTGTAAGTGGCTGGCTGAGGTGCCATCTGTTGAGGAAGTACTGAAAGCGATCCAGAATCTGAGACCAGGAAAGGCACCGGGCAAAGATGATCTCCCAAGCGAAATGCTGAGGGAGTGTGGCGTTTGTGCACAGACTGCCCTATATGACATCATAACAACAGTCTGGACCACTGAACGGGTTCCGCAGGATTGGAAGAATGCCCTGGTGGTCCCCCTCTTTAAGAAGGGGGACCGCACAGACTGTAACAACTACCGGGGCATCTCACTCCTCAGTGTGCCGGGAAAGTTCCTGGCAAATATTATTCAACATCGCCTTGCTAGGCACGCTGAGGAGAGGTTTGCAGAGCCCCAATGCGGTTTCAGGAAAGGGCGGTCCTGCACAGATGCCATATTTTCTATCCGTCTGCTACAACAGAGGTGTAGAGAATTCCAACAAGACCTACATCTCTGCTTCATTGACCCGGTCAAGGCCTATGATACCATCAGTAGGCCTGGGCTCTGGGCTGTTCTTCGTGCTTTCGGAGTCCCTGACCCTCTGCTCACGACCATTAAGGACCTTCATGATAGTGAGCGGGCCCGGGTAAAACTATGTGGCCGGGAGTCGGATCCATTCCCTGTACACCTTGGGATGCGACAGGGATGTCCTCTGGCTCCCACATTATTTAACATCTATTTTGGCCACGTAGTTCGTGAAGCCTTCAATAGCTGTACTGGGGGTGGTACAGATATAATAGGAGGCTGCTCGATGCCCGGGTGCATTCAAGTGATTGCCCCCTACCACGTTGTGTATGCCGATGATTTGGTAATAGCTGCTCATTCAGAGGAAGAGTTGGAGACGCTGCTGCTGAGACTGGAGCGTGCCACTAAGAGGTGGGGCCTTACCATCAGCCCCACCAAAACTAAGCACCTGCCTGGGTATTTTGTACCATCGGACATTCCACCCCCACAACTCCCAATCGGTGATGGGGCAGTTGTGGAGAGAGTGGAGAGTTTCCCATACCTGGGCAGTGTGCTAATGACCGGCTCCAGTTTAACAGCAGAGGTCTCACTGCGAATCAGTCGAGCGGAAATATCTTTTCATCGGTTGCATAACGCTGTGTGGAAGCTACCTGGTCTGTCGCTCTGCACGAAGCTTCAGGTCTTCTCGGCCACAGTCATTCCCTCCCTTCTCTACACTTGCGAAACGTGGACCCCCCTAATAGAACATCAGCGCCGGTTAGAAACATGTAGGCTGGCCTGCCTACGATCCATCCTGGGTTTAACCAGGCTGGATTGTGTGAGGAGCTCAGAAATCCTTAAGAGATCTGGGCAAAGTCCCATTGGTGTGCTCCTCGGGCAGGCAAGGCTGAGTTGGCTGGGTCATGTAGTCTGCATGCCCAGCCACTGCATGCCTAAACATATATTGTTCGGCTGGAACGAGGGAGCTAAACGGGCGCGGCACGGGCTAGAATAGAGATGGAGTGATGTGGTACAGAAGGACGTGGATCTGAGTGGACTTGCCGATGACTGGTACCAGCGGTGTCAAGATCGGCCTCTGTAGAGGAGGCTCATGAAGGACGCTATTGGGCAGTTGGAGGCAGTCACCCTCCAACAACAACGGAGGGCGGAGGAGCGACGCTCACAACACCGAGCGGAGCGCCGGGTGGCTAAAGCACAGCAAGTTGGCACAGTAGGGGGCACAGGTGGTGCATCAGCCAGTCATCTTCGTCATCTCAGTCGACCCGTGGCACCTGAGTCTGCCCTGTGACCTCCTGCCAGCGCCCGTTCGACACTTCACGTGGCCTCAAGGTGCACATGGCCTGGCACAAGCGTCGTGGTGACGTCACCGCCACTTAGTGGCGAATGGCGGTTGTATATCACTGTGTGTGTATATCACTGTGTGTCTCTGTGCGTGTGGTTGGCGCGCGATAGCACTTCCTCCCCCCACCCCACCACCCCCAGGGTCGCACCTTGAGGAAGAGATTCGTGACTTTGGCATCCACCACGAGCGTCTTCTTCTTCTGGTCGAAGACGATGCTCGTGTTGATGGGCGAGTTTCTTCGCGTGATCACTACCTGGCTCGCTCCTCCCGTTGCGTTCGCGTGAATCGACCTGATACCAGAACGATAGAGATGCAGAGAGAGACATCAGAGAAAAACATCAGAGAGAGACATCAGAAAGAGGTGGAGACATAGAGATAGAGAGAGAGAGACAGGGAGACATGAGATAAACAACAGACAGCAGAGAGAGATATTAGGGAGATACGTCAGAGAGAGGTGTGGACATAGAGAAACGCAGAGTGAGAGACACATTGAGAGGTGGAGACAGACAGAGAAAGAGACAGAAAGAGACAAAGCGAGAGGCGGAAATAGACATAGAGAGATAAACATAGAGAGAGACATAGAGAGAAAGACAGAGAGAGTGAGACAGAGAAAGAGAGACACAGAGAGAAAGAGAGACAGAGAGATATATTCAGAAAGACAGTGAAAGAGAAAGACAGAGATGAAAAAAAAGAAACGAAGAGAGAGACAGAGAGAGAGAGAAACGGAGAGAGACAGAGAGAGATGGAAACATAGATCGAGAGATCTAGAGAGTGGGTGATGCAGAGAGATACTTACAGAGTTACATTGAAAGGGAGACAGAGACGGAGAGATAGATGGAGACAGACTTTGACTTTTAAACAACTTTTATTGCCGCCAGCAGCAACAGCACTGGAGGCGATTTCGATATGAAACACAGTCACCAGCAAACAAATGAAAATAAACGCTATAAATCCACGCGACGTGGCGCTAAAGCACCGCGCACAACACGAAAGAAAAGTCACGTGGTTGTGGTGGTCATCGCGCACGCCACGGTGACGAGCGAGCGCTTCAGAAGATGAACATGAGGGTGCCGTCCACGCTGGTACAGAGGGCTTTTCTGGCTCCCCAGCGTTCGAAGAGGACGTGCACATCACCGACAAGTGTGTGGTATGAGATGGAAACAGAGAGACATAGAGACAGACAGAGACAGACAGAACGAGACAAAGAGAACGAAGCACAGAGAGATATAGAGATATTGACAGCAGTTTTTTTCTTCGCAATTTTGTATTACAAGTTAAAAAAAAATCTTTTTACTTTTTTTACACTTGTAGTAACTGTGAATGTCACTGTGTGGTGCCGGGCTTGCGAGGCCACGGCGGATAATATGTTGTCAATGTGCAGCCCGGTTACTGGGCGTAGTACCAGCCCTAGCTGTGCTTGGGTGAGCGCTGGTCGACGCAGAGGCACCACGTACAGTCCGCGGTGCGGGCTCCCAGTGAGGGAGCGAGAGAGAGTGTCAGCCAGCCGGGGTTACGTTGGGGCATGATACGTTGGTTGACCTGCCGACACATGACCAGATGATATTGGAGGGGGGCCACTGGTGGACGGGGGTCGCCGGGTGGTCACGTGGTATAGAAGAGCTCTCGGGAGCCTTCCGGAAAGGGTCAGAGAGATCGAGGTGGGCGGGGCGAGAGGCGGAGCCAGGTCCAGCCCAGGCCGATATAACGGGGGCCCCATGTGGGGCTCGGGGTTTTTGACTGTTGGTGAGTGAAGACCCACGTCGGGTTGAAGAAGCCTCTAGCCACGCGGTCCGGGACCCAGCTCGTGGTCCGGACTGGAATAGCGGGACAGTGTCTAGTTCTGCCGTAGCGTGGTTAGATGGGTGTTCAACACCCGAGTATAGGTTACGTTATGTTGTGTTGAATTGATGTAATAAATAGTGTTGCTCCCAAGACAACTTCTTCGACTCAGTTGGACTCACTACACACTTTCTTTAACTATAATTTTAAAAATAATGTTTTTTACTGTTTCTATTTAATATTTTTCATTTGTTGGGCCAAAAACGTCACGGTCCCTATATTGTGGAATCGGCTCACACAAAAGCAGGCGGCACGTTTCTCATTCACAATTGAAGTACTTCTCAACCGTGAGTTAAGCGAAGTTGTTAATAAAACCGTTGTTAAAAAAAAAAACATTTTTAAAGGAATTAATTTGTAAAAAAAAAAAACATTTCTTAAAACTTTTTTAAAAGCAATTTTTGTTACTATTTTTTTCTCCCATAATTGAGGTTTTTTGTTAGATTGTGTAAATATATAAATACGTCGTAAAATCCCGCCACCACCCGATACAGCCAACTAGTAAGTGTTCTTTCAATTTCGATAGATTCTCTCCCCCCGTATAGCCGATCTCTCAGATCTCTCCAAGTGCTGCCGTGGGGTCAACTTTCTGCCCTGCCCCATCTCTCCCCCACCCCCCTACTGCCGAGGCCTATATAACCTCGTGCCACGGTAGATCTCCCACTTAAGCAGTTTTTTCTTGCTGTGGTTGTCCCTCCTGATGACGATTGCTTGTGTTGCGATCGAAAAGTCGTGACTTTGCCGAAAGAACCAAAGAGTATGGATTCCTGCAGTCAAGAAAGCTTCAAATCAAGATAGTAAGGGTTGTCTTGTAAACAGAACATGCCAATTCGTCACTAGTACAGCACACCGGTGTGTTGGAGAGCCAAACCACAACATTTACAAACTGAATACGACGGTTCATCAGTAATTAAAACGAGCTTCATCAGGCGACAGCCAGATTTGTGGAAAAGTCTTACTGTTTCGTTCCTTATATAGACGCGTAGATGTGTTGACCACCCTTCTGCGCTCTTGCACAATTATGGGGGGGGGGGGGGGTGATGGATTACTGAGGCAACCTATATTATGCATGTGCATTATGCGAGCCCTTTGAACCTGTCTATTGTGTATATTAAAATAGCCCTACCAACGGTAATCCCTATTGAAGTACGCTTCCAGTTGTAGGCATGCATTTTAATAATTTATTATTTGATTATTCGCTTCCATGCAGCACTAAGCCGGTAGCTATCCAAATGGATAAAGTTATTTGGATTTCTTTAAATTTCGATATATTCTCTAATTAGTCTTGGCCAGTAGTAGCTAGTTTTGCACAAAACTAAAAACATTATCAAAATCAATTGAGTGTCCTTGTTGGCACGCGTGTTTTGCTACTGCTGGCAGTTGCATTTGGGAGACTTTAGTATTTCTCTGATGTTCTTTTAGTCTCGTGCTGATCATTCGTCCCGTTTGCCCAACATAACATTTACCACACATGCAGTTAATCCCGTACACACCTTCTGTTGATAGCTTCGGTAATACATCTTTTATACCAGATATTAGATTCTGTATTTTATGTACCGTGCCAAATCTGACTCTGATGTTTTGTTTTTCCAAACATCTGGCTAGTTTATCAGTTACTCCTGCAATGTACGGTATTTTGATAGTTTTAATTACTTGGGCAGTTTATTTTGTTTTGCAAAAGAATGACGACAATTTTTAATACTATTTTTTTACAGTTTTTAAACAATTTTAACAACTTCAAATCGTTTTTTTTTTACTATTTTTAAACTATATATTTTTTTACCATTTTAAACTATTCTTTGTAGCGATTTTTTGTTATCTTACCGGGTGCAAGGCCCCACTGAGCTGATACATAGCTCTTTTTCATGAGCGACCGGGCTATCACAAATGATAGCTCCAAAGAAGTGGGCTTAACATCATCATCATCACGTGTGGTGATTTATGGCAGCAGCCAAATGCTCTAAACCAGTGGTTCTTAACCTGGGGTGCACACACCCCCTGGGTTGCAAGCTGCCATTTATGAGAGCCAAAGGGGTGCATGTTGCAGGGGTGAAAGGTGTAGGCTGCTCTAAACGCACGTTTCTAAATGTGGAGGGACAAAACCGGAGGATCAGGAGCAAAATCCACGTGATCACGGGGATAGAAAGAAAGAGACACGCAAACTTCAAATATACAGCAGCAGGCGTCGGGGTTAGAATCGAACCACGACCTCCTGTATACCGGGCTAGGTAGTAAACATCTTGCTACCGTGGCGCTGCACGATTTCCAGGACTAAAAACGAAACGACAGTAGAGGAAGCGAATGGGTCCGAGGAAACGTCCAACCGAGGAGACGGATCAAAGCTCAGCACCAGTTTTGACATTCATCTCATCAGCAGGCAGGCTTCGCTTGTGCAACTGCTGGTGATCTGCCAGATATTTATAGGCACCGACTGGTTTCATCATTCACTGGCTAATCAGCAGTTTACCTTTTATTGTGTCACTGCTGGTGATTTGGCAGATGTTAATCGGTTAGGGTCCTCCCTGTGAGACGTGGGTTCCAGTTCCACAAATCGTCTGCAGTCGTAAACAACGCACAGAACCATGACGGGAGACGCCATGGTGAATATAATAATCAGCTAAATTCATCAGAGAATTCGCATCCTTCCCGTATTTTGTCTATCACGCGTAAAACAATCACGAGGATTTTGTTTACACATCCGATCAGCCAGCGACAGGACAAACTGGAAGAAAGTGAATTGAGTTTTAAACTTAAAAACATTTAACTACAAATCACCCCTGCAACCCTGGCACTCGCGAGGTCTGCTGAACGAGGCCGAGTCTAAGATTAGAACTCGGATTGAATAACGGAGTGGCGGTGGATTAATTCATCTGACACCGATTCTCCCTTCCCTCCCTCCGCCAATGCAGCAACAATGCCAATGCAGCAACAATGCCGTGGGTGAGAGGCTAATCTCTCACAATACAAAGGCCACTGCCCCAGCCTCTGTGGTTGGACCATCTCTAGCTCCACCTACCTTGGTGCACCTTGTCTCAGCAGCTTTCTCTCTCTCACCTGAAGACGATTGCTTATATACTAGCTGCCACTGCTATTCAGTGGCCTAATATAAAATGTTTCGCTCCCGATGACCGCTGCAAAGTATGATCTTGTGTTTTGATTTAGTGTGCTGATCTTTAAAGGTGCATTGATATTTTTTGATACTCCTACTGATGCTCCTGCTGTTGTGGAGTAACGCATACAGCCAGCTATGGCTACAGGGTTTGGTGGTACATGTTGGGGGGGGAGTCCCCTCGACTCTCTACTCACAATCATTAAGGGCCTTCATGATGGTGGGCAGGCCCGGGGTAAAGCTACGTGGCCAGGTGCCCAGGGCCATTCTCTTTTCACCTTGGGGTGCGACATGGATGTGTTCAGGCTCCTACGTGATTTAACGTCACCCAGGCTCCTACGTGAT